ATCCAATCACGAATGAAGAGATAAATGCATACGAGGTATCAACCCTCGGAAGTAATCATCACCATAGAGGTCCCGGGGAGGGAGTATCACCGTGGCCGGGAGCCATCAGGAGAGGCTTCCTGACAGAGGTGAGCTGGGCACTGGGTGGGAACTGTGACTAGCAATCTGAGTGCTTTGCAGAGCCAGGCAGATGTGTCCCTGGGCACTGGATAATTCCTCCTTTGTTTGGACCAGGGACGAGGCATTGATGCCACCCAGCTTCAGAGACTTCTCAACCAGGAATTCCTGAAAGGTAAGGACCTGCCGTTCCCAACGTCATCCCCATGGCCAAGCCGCCCAATGTCACCCTCCCTGACCCTTCAGTCCTGCCTGTTCTGCCCCCTCAGGACCTCCAGCGGACACCTTCTCTCTGGATGCGTGCCGGGGCATCGTGGCGCTGATGGATGTATCCTTTGCCGTCATCTCCCAGCCCTCCTCATCTGCTCTGCGGGCCTCCCAAGGAGTCTAATGAGATGTTACAGAACCCTTTCTCTCAGTATTTTCTCTTTTTCTTGGTTCTTCGAGCTCACCAAAGGGCCTGGGTTTCTGTGGATTCTAGTCTAACCCCCTAACTCTCCAAAATATTGGTAACTGTAGTGCCCTAGCTGGTTTGGCTCAGTGGATAGAGTGTCAGCCTGCGGACTGAAGGGTCCCAGGTTTGATTCCAGTCAAGGGCACATGCCAGAGTTGTGGGCTCAGTCCCCAATAGGGGGTGTGCAGGAGGCAGCCGATCAATGATTCTCTCTCGTCATTGATGTTTCTCTCCCTCCTTCGCCCTTCCTCTCTGAAATCAATAAAAAAAATATATTTTTAAAAATAGCCGCAGCAACAATGACAATAGTTACCATCTGTCAGGCAACTACAGAAACACTGAGACTTGTGGAGCAGTCCTCAGTCTGTACAGCAGTTGGACCCCAGGGGCAGATGGGAGACAGGGTTGGCCATCCAGTGACTTGTCCAGTTTCCATAGTCACGTGGCAGAGCAGGGAATCAAACCCAGGTCTCCTGCCCCCCATCCTGGCTTCTTTCTCTGATGAGCCATGTGGGCCCCTTCCCTGGCAGACAGGAAAGACCATCTTCCGGTGTGCATAGCCCCCAGCATGCCTGTCGTGCTCCCCTCGGTATGGGTGGTCTCCTGGGAGGAAGACAGACCCTGCTCTTTCACTCCTAACAGGACTTGATTGGGAATTTGAAGGTCATTGCTATCAAACAAGAGGGCTTCTTGATGAAATCATAAATCAGGCCCCGACTCTGCCAGCAGATGAATCAAAATAGCCATAGCAGCCCCCCAGCCTGGGGCACGTAGCCCTGGAGGAGTCACCCACCCCTCCCCCCAAGCAAAGCAGATGGGTCTTTTCTACCCTTCCTCCTACTCACACTCCAGGCCCTCTGAGATCCATTCTTTTCTTATCATCAGTTCTCATGAAATCCATCATATGGAATGGCTAGGGCTGGTTTTAAGACATCCATTCGCATGCACACCTGGCCCACGTTCATGTCTCGGGCTGTTTCAGGAGTTGCCATGACCCCCTCAGGCTTGTTCCCACTCAACTGGTGAAGGTTGTGGTTGGGGCTCTCTCTCTTCCCCTGGATGCAAGAGATGTTGGCCTCCCCTTTCTCAGGGCTTTCTTCTCCTTCCAATTCTCCATTTCGCCTTGTAAAGTAAATCTAAGCCAGGTCCCTTTCAGATGCAGCAGGAGCCAGCTGGCGTGAGGCTCAGGCCCCATCCGTGTCACTAGTTGAAGGATGGAGGGCTTGTTGGTGGGACCTGCGGCCCCTCCGCTCAGTGCACGCTGGACTGGTGAACTCTTAACTCCCGGCAGCTGAAAGTGAACGGGCAGCTCGACGAGGAGGAGTTCTCCAGGCTGTGGAGCAGACTCGTCCGCTGCCAGGTACCGGCATGTTTGCTTTGGACTAGCACTCTTGTTCCATCCCGTTTAGCAGATAGCAGTGGGCGCTTTCTCCTACACCCGGGTTGAGGGGTGCAAAGAAAAGGAGCCTCAGCAGGCCTCAAAGAGAACTCCCATTGTGTTTGGGGAGACATACATGCGTCACCAGAAGGCAGTGCCCGATGGAGTGGCAGGGTGAGGAATGCTCTTGGAGGGTGGAGAGAAAGGGCTCTCCGTGGAGTGTAGCTAAACCACCAGCTATCCTTGCCCCCACATCCCTCCCCCGGCACACGGCCGCATCCCCAGGCTGCCAGTTCATCTCCTTCCCTGCCCCTCCACGTGCTGGAAGGTACATCAAAACCACAGATGTGTATGGCCATCCCAGTGCTCAGGACAAACTCTAACCTCCTCAGAACTGTGCGCCAGATCCTCTGAGTTATGAGCCTCCTTTAGGATCCAGGAGAGGCCCTTCCACTCACTCCACGCACCCCTGCAGACCCCAACTAGGAGACTCCTTGCTCGTCCTCCCTGAACTCCCAGCCTGGGCAGCACCCACCCACCCTGGGAGTCCATCTCAGACACAACATCCCTGCAGGGCCTCCCTGGGGGGTCTTGCCCGCCCCCAAGGCCCTGTGAGTTCTCCCCTCACCTCCTAACACTTCAACTCGCAGCAGGAAACTAAAGTGCCTGTGTGTGTGGCTGTCCCAGGTTATCACTTGATCTCCAACTTGGGTCATTTGGGGTCTTGCAGGCACTGCAGTGGCTGACATGCCCCCCATTAGGTTGTGGGGTCCTCCAGGGCTAGGGCTCCCTCATAGCCATCTTCCTTCCCCACTGCCTTCCTTAGTGTCTAGCACACAGTAGGTGCTCAAAGTGCTAAACAAATGACCAAACTATGAATTAGTGAGTGAGGGGATGAATACCTCTCTGAGAACGCTCTACACTTGGTGGTTATACTCACCAACAGAGCCAGGTAAGGCCAGAAAGGCTAAAGCTGCTATCTCCCACTGACTGTCTTCTGAAGTCAGCCTCAGACACACCAGCTGGAGTCCCACCGCCTGCATGCTTAGCCCAAAGCGGTCCCTCCCCTGCCTGGGCATGCTTCCTCACCTGTGAAGTATGGGGCAATCAGGGCTAGTGTGTGAATCAGGAGAGGCTGAACCATGCTGGAGAGGGAGAGCCCCATGTAGAGGTTGGGGTGTTGGGGTTGCTATGGCCTGGGAACGTGCTTGGTCCTGGACACAGCCCACACCTGCCTTGGTGCTCCCTGCACTCGCTCACTTTGTGCAGGGCACCCTCCTGGCACTTTATATATAGATATCTGCGCATTTACTCCCGGCAACTCACCTGGGAGCCAGGCCCTTGGGCTTGTGCTGCCGATGGGGAAGCAGGCCTGGGAAGAGGCAGTAACCTGCCCAAGGTACACGCCGCCGGCCGTAGGCCAGTCTGTGCTCTTCATCACCCTGTGCAGACTCTTTCGAGAGCTCCCCAGCTCCCCAGAAGGCAGCGAGCTGCCTGAGTGTCAGGAGCCCAGTGCAGGTGAGGGAGAGGAGAGAGCAGGTTGGGAGAGGGGGTTGGGGAAGAAGAAAACCCCCTAGCCCCGCAGCTGGAGGTCAGAGTGCGCAGCCTCCCTGTCCCCCACTGGGTGCCCCGCCTGCCTCTGAGCTGAGCCTCCAGGGATGGCAAAGGGATTTGCGGGACCTCCCTCTCCCGGGACGTCCTCTTCACGATGGGCCCTGGGACTCACACCGGCTCCTGGCCTCTTTTTCATGTCAGAGCGTTTTCCAGAACACCCAGAGGAACACGGGCGTTTTCCTGAGCTCGGATTTGTGGAGGGCCATAAAGGATACAGGTAAAGCAGGGACCCTCTGAAACCGATGATGGAGGGTGGCAGCGCCTGTGTGTGTGTGTGTGTGTGTGTGTGTGTGTGTGCGCACATGCACACATGGCATGCCCCTCACGGGCTGCAGGCAAGGCTGGTGCAGCAGAGCGGGCAGTCAGGACCAGCAGAGCTGTGGCTTCGTGGCCTCCCCTGGTTTACACCGTTCTCTGGGGCCTCCAGCTCTGGGCTCAGACTCTGCTTCCTTTGCCTGAGTTCTCACGTGCCAGTCAATGTTGCCAGCTGCCTTCTCCCCAGCACAGCTCTAACTGTGAGAGGGTAAGCTACATGATTGAAACCCACCACCAAGCCGCCCTCAGGGACTCTTCGTCTTGGCATCCGAGCCGTGGGGTTTAAACACCCACAGGCAGGCTGGTGCACTCGCCACAGAGGGTTTGGGGCGAAACGAAATCAATGGCATCTCTGCTGCAAGGAGGCAGAGCTTTCAGTCCTGGGCTAAGGAGGCACCCCTGCAGGAGCGCCTGGTGGTTGGGCAAGGGCTTGTACTCAGGTCATCTCATTCGATGGTCTCCATGACTCTGAAACTGGGAAGGGCGGGCATCGCCATCTCACTGCACCATGTGGGGAACGGCTCGCACAAAGGTTAAGTCAGGAAACCTGTGGCCCAGACTTCCTTGCAGGGGTCTCCGTCGGCAGCGAGCTGCTGGATCTCGTCGCCCTCAGATACAGCGACAGCGCTGGCAAAGTCAGCTTCCCCAGCCTGGTCTGCTTCCTGATGCGGCTGGAAGCCATGGCAAGTAAGTGTCACCTGGGGACATCCTGGAGACCTTCCCAGTGACCAGAAACCCAGGAGGGGACCAGGGATGCACTCCTGTCCCAGCCTGGGCAGTGGGTGGCCTGCAGTCCTGCCCCAGGAGCTGTTGCCCCAAGAGACAGAGCCAACACTAGCCTGCGTACTGGTGTCATCTGCTGGTGTCCCCAGGCTCCTTCTGCACCCTTTTCTCTCCAGGAGATCCCCTATCCCAGGCTCCCGTCTTCTCGTCACCCTGTTTACTCAGTGCTCCTTCCAGGGTCACGGCCGAATCACTGGGTCCCTCTCCAGATTGTGTTTATAGTTTAAACCTGCTCTATAGTCATGTGGCGAATGACTTGGTCTCTGCAGGAGGAATTGCACATGCCAGCAAATAGCTGGGGGCAGGAGGTCTTTCCCCAGGCTGCAGAAACTCAGCTCTGTAGGCCAGAGGTTTGACGCTTTTTAGCAGCATACCCCTTTGTTGTAAATGAAATCTTATGTGAAACCCCAAGCTACAAAATAGCTCAAAATGGACCTGCCGTGGTTGAGTAGCAGTGGCATCTGGCCTCAGCTCTAATCCTTACACTGCCCTGCCTCGTGGCATCACTATAAACCCTACCGCTCTGAGCTAGATGATTCATGTTAAGATGGTGAGAACAGCCCTAGCTGATTTGGCTCGGTGGTTAAAGTGTAGGCCCACGGACTGAAGGGTCCCAGGTTTGATTTCAGTCAAGGCACATACCTCGGTTACAGGCTCAATCTCTGGCCCTGGTTGGGCGTGCACGGGAGGCAACCAATTGATGTGTCTCTCTCACATTGATGTTTCTCCCTCTCTGTCTCTACCCCTGCCTTCCACTCCCTCTAAAAATCAATGGAAAAAATATCCTCCAGTGAGGACTATCCAAAAAAAAATAAAAAGATTGTGAGAACAGAGCCCTGGGAGGGTAAATGAAAAGCCTGAGGCATAAACCTGTTCCAGAGAGTTCTCAGTTGGATGAGGGAGGTTCGTTCCTCAAATGATGCCCTGGAAATACTTCCAAAGACAAGCCCACATGCCCCATGGCCAAGTGAGGAGACGCATAGTGCAGGGAGACGAAGAGGGAGAGAGGCATGAGGGCCGGAGCAGCCAGAGCAGTTCCGAAGACTTGAGCCCCAGCTGTCCCTGGAAAGGGAAGGGGAGCCAAATCATCTCCCGTGGAGAGGAAGAGAGTTTCTCTGGCTTCACACAGAATCATTGCACTTGCTTTTATACCAGCCTGTCCTGATTCCTCTCCTCTCTACCATAGAGACTTTCCACAACCTCTCCAAGGATGGAAAAGGACTGTACCTGACAGAAGTGGAGGTGAGCCGCCCTGCCCTCCCGGAGACAGGACCAGCCCAGCCCTCCCATCCTCCCCAGATTCCAGGGGCATTTTTCTCCCTGAGGATATCGAACAGCCTGTCAGAGGCCAGCCAAGCTGCCGGCCCCCCTGCCTCCAATTACTGCCTTTATATATTGCTGGCTGCCAAGGCTGCTCTAGGAGCTTGGCAGACATTTTATTTTTTTCCGATAGCTTAATAAAGCAGAGGATTATGTGGAAGTCATAAATCCAAGCGGGAACTGCAGCACACCTGCTGAGCTCACTGTACATTAAACTTCTTCCCATTGCGTTTTGGAAAGAACCTCCTGGCCCAGCCAGCTGGTCGACCTCAGCTACCCTCCCACTGCCTGGCAGTGCAGGGAGTAGCAGGAGATATGCTGTGACAGGGGTGGGACCTCCTGCTTGGATTGGAATTAGCCAGAAAGGGTTGATGAGACTAGACAGAGATCTTTCAAGGGAGGAGGGTAACATTTGCCCTGATCTGTGTGAAGCTCGTGAGTGTAAAGACTGGTTGTAATGAGAATGTTTATTTCCTAGTGGATGAACTTGGTCATGTACAACTGAAGCAAGGAGCAGAGCAGACCCCAGAGACCAGGTAAGACATGGCAGCTTTCGAATCATTTCTTCTTGGGGCCCAATTCCCCTTCAACTGCACACAAGACCCTCTCCCTGGGAGCAGCCTCAGAGGTTAAGGAGCCCTTATTTGTGTGAGCCAAGGGGGACCTGAGGTTTTCAGGCCAAGTGCTGCAGGTTTCATCCAAGTCATGGAGACCAGTGGGCATTCATGAAAGAGAATGGCCTGAAAGTCATGAGTGAGGGAGTTAGAACAGTGATGGCGAACCTTTTGAGCTCGGCGTGTCAGCATTTTGAAAAACCCTAACTTAACTCTGGTGCCGTGTCACATACAGAAATTTTTTGATATTTGCAACCGTAGTAAAACAAAGACTTATATTTTTGATATTTATTTTATACATTTAAATGCCATTTAACAAAAAAATCAACCAAAAAATGAGTTCGCGTATCACCTCTGACACGCGTGTCATAGGTTCGCCATCACTGAGTTGGAATCTGTTTTTTAAATCAATTTACTTTTTATTGAAATATGATTGATAGTTAACATTGTGTTAGTTTAGGTATCTAACAATGATTTGATATATGTATATATTGTGAAATGGTCACCACAATAAGTTTAGTTAACTGTCACCACATATAGTTACAGATTTTTTTGTTATGATGAGAACTTTTATGATTTACTCTCTTAGCAACTTTCAAATATACTAAATGTTGTTCACTATAGTCACCACACTGTACATCCACAGGACTTATCTATCTTAGAGCTGGAAGTTTATACCTTTTGCCCACTCAACCCCCACCTCTGGAAACGACCAATCTCTTCTCTGTATCTATGAGTTCAGTTTTCTTTTGTGTTTGGGTTTTTGTTTGTTTTTTTTAGATTAAAAGTGAAATCATATGGTATTTTTGTCTTTCTCTGTCTGACTTATTTTATTTAGCATAATGCCCTCAATGTCCATCCCTGTCATTGAAAATGGCAGAAGTGCCTTCTTTTTTTATGGCTGAGTAATATTCCGTTGTATATATACACCACATTCTCTTTATCCATTCATCCGTTGATGGACACTTAAATTGTTTCCATCTCTTGGCAATTGTAAATAATGCTGCAGTGAACATGGGGTGCAGACATATTTTTAAATTATTGTTTTTGTTTCCTTTGGATAAATATCCAAAAGTAGAATTGCTGAATCATATGGTAGTTCTAGTTTTAATTTTGGGGAGAACCTCCATACTGTTTTCCATAGTGGCTGCATCAATTTACATTTCCACCAACAATGCACAAGGGTTTCCTACATCCTGACCAACACTTCTTTTTTCTAGTCTTTCTGATAATAGCCATAAATGTACAACACATCTCTTGTCTTTTTTATAATAGTGATTCCAACAGGCAGGTGTGAATTGATATCTTATTGTGGTTTTGATTGGCATTTTCCTGATGCTTAGTCATGTTGAGCAACTTTTCATGTACCCATTGGCCAATTGTATATCTTCTTTGGAAAAGTATCTATTCGTATTTTCTGTCCATTTTTAATCAATTGTTTGTTTTTTCTACTGAGTTATATGAGTTCTTTATATATTTTTTATATTAACCCCTTATCAGATATATAATTTGCAAATATTTTCTCCTATTCAGCAGGTTGCCTTTTCATTTTTGTTGATTTCTTTTGCCTGCACAGAAGGTTTTTAGTTTGATATAGTCTCTCTTGTTTATTTTTCCTTTCGTTGCTTTTGCTTTTGGTGTCCATTCAAACAACTCATTGTCAAGACCAATGTCAAGAGCATTATTGCCTATATTTTCTTCTAGGAGTTTTATGGTTTAAGATCTTATGTTCAAGTCTTTAATCTATTTTGAGTTGATTTTTGTGTGCGGTATACAATAGGGGTCTGGTTTAATTTTAGAATTCTTAACTGAAGTTGCAATGAGGAAAGGCAATCACTCATCACAGCAAACATTAATGTGTGGAGCAACAGAAATGATCAGACCTTGGGGAAGTGAAAGTTGGGTCCAGCCCCAGATCTACCATTGCCTCACTATGTAGCTTTGGATGCATCACAGACATCTGTAGACATCAGCATCTATTTCTCTAGCATGAGTGCGCTGAAGAATTAACACCCATGTAACATTTTCTTCTACATTTTTACTTTTCAGAGAACAGACCTACAGATACATAGTCTACATCCCACCCTACTACAGCAGAAGCCCCTGCAGAGTCTGATAGAATATTCCGGAACTGGGGAGCTCAATATTTTGTGTTTCCATTGTTGGACACCTTCAGGTGTTAGGTGTTCTTTATCTAGAGGCAACAATCTAATTCCCTGGAACTTTCTATCCATGCTTCAAGCTCTACTCTCTGGACCACTGTAGAAAAATAGACTTGGACATGGCAGACCTTCAAATACTTTGCTGCCTACCCCAAAGCCTCTCTTCTTTCATTATCTCTGATGGTTCTTAACTAGGACCTTTTGGTGACCATTCTCTATATGCCAATGTCCCTTTGGAGCGTCCAGTCCCCTAGGCAGCAGACCTGTGATCAACACATTCTGGGCTCCTATTCTTTTTGTCAACAGCATTTATTTAATCTCCCAATCATGTACCTTGAAATTAAGACACAGACATGGTTTCTATAAAGAAATAATATTTTAGCATAAACATTTCCTGATGAATACCTGGTGCTTACTAATGAACAGAAGTCAACAAACATTGCAGATATTCAAGTTAATTAGATTCAACTATATTTTCCTGAATTCCCCTTTCAATCCTTTTTAAAAATAGAACACTTGATCATTTCCAATTTGCCTGATTCCTATCTCCATCTGCATGAGTTCCAATATCAGGAATGATTCTTCAATTGTATCTTTAAGCTAATTTTGCATGTAGGACCTAAAGCTTGAACTAACTGAACTCTCAATTATCCTTTCTCCCATAAAGGGTCTCAGCTCCCTCTGCACTAATTTCCTCACACTTCCTGTTCCTTAAGATTATGTCAGAAGGAAGTATAATGTAAGTTGCGTGGTTATGTGTGTTTCAGTCTCTTTCAGTAATGCCTATCATCACCCTAAGAGTGCTCCCCCGACTTCCCTGTTAATCACAGCCCTCTGCCATCACATTATTAAAGCATATCCATTCACTCTTGGCTCATGGGTTGCTTCGCAGAATTGGAGGCAGAAGGATGAATAAATCCTGCCTCCAAATCTACAAACCCACTTTTATCTGTAATCACCTCCCACCTTCCTCCCATTATGCTAGAGGGCATGTTCCTCTGAGGATGTCCTGGATCTAATTACCTTCCACCTTCTCAAGGGTTTGATTGAATGAATGCTCTCCTCTGACTTCTGAATACCAAACCTCTCTCTCTCTTTCTTCTGGAGCCTTCTAATTCCAATTTAAACGTGCTTCCCTCTTAAATTTCCAGCCACAACTCCATCTCTTTCCTCTCTTTACAGAAAAACACCCATCGAGAGCCAACTGTCTCTACATCCTTTCCTCCCACTTTCTCCTAAAGTTGCTAAAATTCAGATTTCTCAGACATCATCTCTCCCGGCCTTTTGCATTGGCTCCCTATCTGATATCCTATGTTCACCCATATCCCTCAAATCAGTTTCCTGCAGTCTGAGCACACTTTAAAAGATTCAGATCCAATCACTGAACTCCCCAGGTAAAAATCCTTCAGTGTTTTCCAATTGATATTCAGGGAATGTACGGAATCCTGAACATGGTCTGCATCGCCTGGCCCCTGCCCTCCCATCTCACCACCCTTGTGTCTCTCCTCCTTCCTGCACTCTACTTCCACCACCACAGCATCATTTTATTTCCTCTAGTGTTTTATTCTTTTCCCAGCCTCAGGGCCTTTGCCCTTACTGTCTGCTCAGCCTGGGGTTAGTTACTAACTCCTAAGAGTTCAGGTCTTAGCCCTATTGGGTTCCCGTGTTATTTACTCACATATCACACTACCCCAATCATAACATTCAAAACACGTTTTTATTGTTGTTGCCAACTTTTTCCCTTTTTAGAGCTTTATTATGATGCAACCCACACACCATACAGTCTACCCATTTAAGGTATAGGGTTCGATGCGTTTCAGTATAGTCACAGCGCTGTGCAACCGTCACCACAATGTAATTTTAGAATATTTTTCATTACCACAAAAAGAAACCCCATGCCCATTAACGGTCACTTCGTAATTTTGCCTGACACCTCTAGTGCTAGGCAACCTCTATTCTACTTTCTGTATCTGTTTATAATTAGAATCATATAATATTTGGTCCTTTGTGACTTCTTACACTTAGCATGGTATTTTCACGGTTCATCCACCGTGATAGAATGTATCAAGACATCATTTCTTTTTGGTGTCAAATAATATTTTATTTTTGTCAACATACCATATGTTATTCATTCATTCATAATTTGATGGACGTTTAGGTTGATTCTACTTCATGGCTTATTGTGGATAATCCTGCTGTGAATGTTCGTATACAAGTTTTTGCATGGATGTATGCTTTTATTTCGCTGGGGTGTATGCCTAGGAGTGGAATTTCTGGGTCATATGGTAACTCTATATGTAACACGTTGAGGAACTGCCAAACTGTTTTCCAGAGCGGCTGCACCGTTTTCACATCCCCACCAGCAGTGAATGAGAGTGCCTTTCTCCACATCCTCCACAGCACCTGCTGTTGTCCGTCTTTTTTACGATGGCATCCTAGAGGGTGTGAAGTGATATCTCATGGTGGTTTTGATTTGCAGGTCCCTGGTGGCTCATGATGTTAAGTATGTTTTTGGTGCTTATTGGCCATTAGTATAACTTCTTTAAAGAAATATCTATTTAAATCATTTGTCTGCTTTAAAATTGGGTTATTGTCTTTTTGTGACTGGGTTGCAAGATATATAGAGAGGGGTCGGCAAAAGTAAGTTTACAGTTGTGAGTATACAAAAGTTTATTCTTGTGTTATGACTAATTGTTGTATTATAACTGTAAACATATTTTTGCCCAGCCCTGTATTCTAGTACAAGTCCCTTGATCGTGTGCGTGATTGCAAAACTTTTCTCTCATTCTTCATGTTGTCTTTTAAGTTTTTTGGTGATATTGTTTACAGAACATGAGTTTTTAATTTGGAAATGCAAATTATCTGTTTTTTCTTTTGTCACTTATACTTTAGGTGTCTTAGCACCCTTTCCAAAAATCAGTTTATCATAATGTAAAGATTTATTTCTGAACTTTAAATTCTATTCCATTGTTCTACATCTATCCTTATGCAAGTAATACAATGGGCTGGTCACTGTAGCTGTCTAGTAAGTTTTGAAATCAGGAAGTGTGAGTCCTCCAACTTGGTTTTCCTTTTTCAAGATTGTTTTGGTGATTTGGGGTTCCTTGAATTTAATATAAGTTTTATCATCAACTTGCTAAATTCTGCAGGGGGTGGGGAGGCAGCTGGGGTTTTTATAATAATTGCATAAATCTGCAGATCAATTTGGGGATATCACCATGTTCACAATATACGCGATACAGTTTTCTGATCCATGTATGTGAGATGTCTCTCTGTGGTTTTTTTTTTTAGATCTTCCCTAATTTCTTTCAAAAAATTTTTGTTTATAGTGTAGAAATTCTGCACTTTCTTGGTTAAATTTATTCCTAAGTATTGTATTCTTTATGATGCTATTACAAATAATTTTAGTTTCAGATTGTTCATTGCTAATGTATAGAAATAAAATTAATTTGTGTATATCGACCTTACATTCTGCCACTTTACTGAACTCATTTTTTAGTTCTAGTAGTTTTCAAGGGATTCCTCGGGATTTTGTATAGACACAATTATATCATCTGCAAACGGGGAGTTCTATTTCTTCCATCCCAATCTGGGTGGCTTTGATTTATTTTTCTTGTTCAATGTCCTGCCTAGAACTTCTAGTACAACTCTGCCCAGCATTCCTTTACTTTGATGCTACAGAGTTCAAGTTGCTTTCTTCTAGGATCTTCATCACACCCAGTTAGGAAAAAGACTCCCACTGTTGGCCAGCATTCAGTCCAGAGAATTCCCTCTCCTCACTCATCTGGTCCAAGAAAAGGCCTTGTCCGATGAGCTATGTGAGCTTCTGCCCAGAGCCTGGGGCGCTGAAGGCCCTCAACAGTCTACTTTCCTCCGGGTCACTCCCCACAAGCTGTGTCAACAAGCTTCGATCTGCCCTTGGACTCCCCAGGGAAGCTGTGGTGTCCACCTCTGTGAGCCCACCTCTGTCTCCCTCCTTCAACCACTTGTTGCCTCTGCCTTAGTAAGTGAGGAGGAAGAAGTGTGCAGCCAGACAACACCTCTTCCTTCCCTACCATCAGGTCTGTTTCTTTTCAACAAAGCATACACCTCCATGGCCACACATGGGCAATGCTTCTGTGAAAAGTCTTCAGAGCTATCAAGTTCATACTTTAAAAAAATGACTCCAAAAATACTCAGAGCATCCATAGATGGTCCTTGGACATTTGAGACTATGTTGATTTTAATTGGTTTCCATCTAGAGGTTTAATACACTGCAAGTCACACCTGCTGAGAGTTTGTCCAACTAATGTCATGTACATTCATGTGGATCTACTGTCAACGTGGCAGTACAGCGTCTTATTCTAACAACGTTAGTAGTTATAATAGTTTCCCACAGTGCAGAAATAAGGTGTGGGAGCAACATGCCAGCTTCTGTTACTCTGCATGAAGGTAAAATGTGCCAGCAGCAGCCCTGATCCTGCTGATTTACCAGCAACCCAACCACGGTGTCACTAGAGTGGGCTAGCTTCTCTCCTAACAAACCCGTCTCCTCATCCTTCAGACCAACCGAGTGCTTCTCAAGAGTTGGGTGTCTGGACTCGCCTCTTTGGTGTGAAAACTCCTCCCTCCTTTGGCAGGCAAACACCTGTTGGTGAGCGGGTACCTTTCAAACCCAGGATGTCCAGCTTCTGGAGCTGGATTTTAAAGAGAAATGTATCCACCTAGGACAATGACATGGGCCCTCCAAGGGCATGAACCAAGAAGGAGCAAGTTGGAATCCAGGCAAAAGGCGATCCAGCCGTCCAAGGACCAGAGCTAGGCAGCTGAACAAGGGAGCAAGAGGCCCAGTGAGGAGCAGGAAAAGGGACCCCTGGGGAGAAAGGAACCAGCAGTTCTATCTGACCGCAGCGTAATCATGGGGAAATGGTGTTCAGATAGATTTTGAAATTCGGCTGGAGAGCTTAGAAGAATTATTAGGATAATAATGTAGTCTAAGCGGATTTTTAAAATGAGGTTATTATTAATTCCTGGAAGAACAAAGAACTATAGAAGAAAAGTAATATGATCCCAGAGTATTTCTTCACTCAGCAGTCAACAGTACATATATAATTGTAATAAAGCAAAAATGGGATATTGATTTCACAAAAAAATGTGACATAAATCTATTAGAGAATGTAGGGAGCGAAGGCACAGGTATGCAAGTGGGTGAGGAGCATCCCAGCCCCATCTTCCATCATCAGTCAATAGGCATTTCCCATTAATAAGCCAGGGTTAACCACGGGAGCATATTATTAAGAAATATGGAGGTCGCCATCAGAAGAAAGAGTTCGGAAAGAGGAATTCAGGGTAGGAACGGAACAGGGGGCTGCGTCCTTCCTTCCTGCCTTATAATACTAGCTGCATGTTTACCTTAAGTACTTGGGCTGGATTTTTATGAAAAATAAGTCAGCAAACTGGCAAATAGTCTGAGACTCCAGAGAAGAGGAGAGAGAACCAGGCTGCTTTGCCACATGGGCGGAAGTTGACTGATGATAGTTGTAGAAGAAATGTTTATACAGGATTGCCGTTTTATCCAAGAAATGTAGCCATGGAAAAGCCACCCTCTTACAGGAGGGCAGAGCCCGCAGATGGGAGCTCAGCTGGAACAGAGGGAAGAGCTGCCTTTGGTCTTACAGCCCATGGTGGGGAGGGGATCGGGGAAACATCTGCTCCCCAACTTCTCTCCATTTTGCTGCAGACACTCGGGTGCTAAATAGGCTGTGGTTTGCACCCAGACATTCAGACAGGCAGAGGAGGCGGGTAGGTGCCTCCGGGGATCTCTGAAGAATGAGATGCTGACATTCGCATCCATTGGGGAGCACTGGGCATGATGGGGCTGGTCCAGCCTTACCTGCAGGTGGTACATGTGCTCCCCCTGCTGGTGGTCCCAAACAGTGTTCATGGGAATGGGGCTGGGTCTCTGCAGCCACTCAACAGAAGGAAAAGCTCTCCTCTCCCTGGGCTTCTGTGTTTGAGCATCTGTGTCTTCCTCCAGGACAGGCTCCCAGTGATTGGCCAAGACCCTGCCCTCATTCCAATGAGCCATGCTGCCCCCGGGATAGTGATGCAAATGGCATCTGCCTTCTGGCGATGCAGTCACAGCTGCCTTCCAGGAGCTGGGCTGGGTTGCCTTCCAACGGGTCCAGCTCGGTAGCCCTGAGGTCACAGAACAGGTCACCTGAGAGTTTGGGGACACCAGCCAGGAACCTTCTGGACAATGAAGCAGACGTTCCATTTGGGAAAGGAGGGGAGAAGCTGCACTTCAGTCCCCTCCCACCAGTCCGCACAATTCTTAGAAAAGCCAGATGAGCCAGTCGCCTACCCACAAGGTGCTGTGGGTAACCCAGGATCAATCCACCGGGTGTTAGCAGACTAATCATACTCTCCAGGGTCTGAATCTGGAATGTTTCACAGCCAAATGGCAAATAAAACATGGTTCCCACAAAGATCTTGGACTCCATGGCGAGTTCCGGATAGAAAATACATTTGGGAAAGGAGAAACCCAGCCAGCGAGGCAGGCACCTCCCTCTCTCCTTATCCCTCAGCCTGTCATCATGTCTCTCCCAGAGATCATGGCCCATAGAGCGCAGAAGAGGCTCCAGCCAGTGACCAGGCCAGACCCCACTCGGGAGAATCTGCAGTTAGAGAACTCATCCCTGGAAGCATCTCCCGCGTGGGAACCCTCGCAGTTCTGTGTGTCAGGAGGGCAGGAGGGCGGGCCTTCCTGAGTGTGACCTCGCTGGCCAGATGCCCTCAGGAGGCAAAGGTGTGGGGAGGGAGGGAAGTGCCATTATGCAAACTCCCACGATCAGGAGCCAGGTCGGCGTTCTGAAGTGGACACATCCTTGTACAAGGGACAGACACGCAGCCGACTAACCTGCATCGCACAGGGACTGTCTCAGTCATTCGGTGGTATAGCAGCATCAGACACAGCGAAGCCGGACCAGGTCATGTCGCCTCCGGGCCCTGTGCTTGGCTAACCAGGACAGATGGCCATGGTCAGCAGTGTGGGCTTTGCAGGCAGTCAGAGCCCAAAGACCCGGAGTCCTGAG